GTCTACTTACCGAGTGGGTCATCCGGTGTGTACAGGGGTTTATCGGTCTGGATCAGCACCATGCAGGCACGGAACGTGATGATCACCTTCACTGTCCTCTCGATATTGTTGCAACCGCCACCAGACAGATGTGCAACCAGCGTTGCATTGTTATCCTGCTTCTCCAGTGCCTGTGTGTTGTCGTACGTGAGCTGTGAGCCACACCGGAACACAAGCGCATAGCATATGCCGGAGAACAGCAGTCACAGATGTGCAGGACAGCCAACCAGAGCAATCGGGCTCAGATATTGCTTATAACAGTTATACACCCGCAACTTACCACATGCTGCCTGCAGCAGGCCAGGGCTAGGTATACCGCATTATCTCTAATATAAGCACAGTCTCCAATAATAGCACGTCTCCAATAATAGAACACCTTGGGGCGGCATTCAAAAAATAAAGTGCTCAGTCTCCATTATAAGCACACTGTGTAAATTCATTATCTGTACCGGCGAAAAAAACCTGAAATGTGTGTGTCTGACATGAATTTGGCATGGCAACATGCCTCTGAAATGAGGTTGAAACAATAATGGAACAGTCTCCAATAAAGGAACGTCTCCATTAATAGCACGGGGCGGAGGTACATTGAAAAAATAAAGGACCGTGCTTGTATTAGAGATAATACGGTATCCAATTTGAATCGCCCTGGGTTTCTGCTCCAAGGTCTCTGAAGCAGGTAGAATGCAATCCTTTGCACGTTCCACGGACACAATGTAGAGCTGATTTGCTTGTATTCACTATAACCAAGGTATGAAGCTATCCTGCAATTGCGTAGCTGTGTTACGTTTATAGCTTACTCGTACACACAGAGAGAAGGCTGTCCCAGTGACTCATAGTATTGCAGAAATGCACATCGTCTGTAAGTTAGATAGGCTGGGTATTGCATTGGCAGGATAGCAGCACTTTCAATCACTTCTGTTTGCCCCTGACAAATCCCATATCTCTACTAGTACTTACACCGACATTCATGGACGTGGCGCTTTTTGTATCTGCATGGCAACAGCAAAAACAAGAAGAGTGAGTTCAAATACAATGCATGATGTTTCTTCTTATTTTTTTACTGCTGTCTCTATTTCTTTCGCGTCCGTCACACACGAGATTCACAAACTGCAGTCCAAAAAACATGCACACATATCCATGTATAGAAAAGAAAACGGACCAAGGAACTACAAGTTACGCTATAATGTCCACTAACACAACCAGTTACTAAACAATCAGCTCATGTGATAACATTGCACGACACTGACAGACGGTACATGTACTGACGTTCTACAACTAACTGGCTAACAGCTCTAACACATCTTGGATGCACACTCCACATATCTATGTGTTTATACGGTATGTGTTGTGCTAGGACTTTATACACATACAATGTACGTCGTTGCATTCATCATTACACTGTCACCAAACCAAGCATAGTAACTGTTAGTGGTTGCAGTCGGATTCATTGCGCGTACTGCTGTGGTTGCTGTACTCTTACCAGTAGACTAGGGGCGTGCATGCCTCTCAAGACAGGAAGCCTCACCAGCTCACCATGCACAGAATTATGTGCATGATTGTTAATAATGTGTTCTGGCTTTCTATTTTTTCCGCTCTCTCGGTGACTTCATCATGTAAGGTAACAAGAAACTTAGAAACCGTGCTGTCGCTAGGAGTTTCGACGCAATGTTACTAGGGGCCAAATCATACAATCAGGACGTGGTATTACTTAGCAATGGTAAGGAGAACATACTGAATGACAACGCCCCGATTTGCTCTGGTGTCTGCACCGTATTCCACATGTAGTAAACGGTTTTTCTTCAGATTTTCCCATGTCACCTTCCTCAACCTTATGAAAAATGCTAGTAGTAGTAGTCCATATTAGCATGAGAACTCCTAGTCCTGCTGTACGCCCACGGAATCTAGCCTAGCCTGTAGACATGCACGGTAGAGGATCTACTGCTTGACAAAAAAAACTTACTGGCTTGGATGCTAGATGTCACGGAGAACCCCGCCAGTTCCGTGAAACTAAGTCGAACCTGCACGGCGCCATTAGCGCCCGTGATGTAAACATTGACGGCGTTGTCCGACGGTACACGGAACACATTCGGAGCGCTGACCACGAACCTGAGAGCACAATGAAAGGCAAGGAGATTCAACTTCATGCAAGGCCAAGGGTGCTGGAATGAAGACAAGCAGCTAGCTGTCCGCTTCAAGTGGCAGGCAATAATGATTTGGTCAACTCCGTCGTCGTTCGCCGCATGATTGCAAGATCACCCCTTTCAAGGAAATACGTACCGGCATGACTCCACCGTCGTGAGCTGGAGCAACGCCAGACCCAGCAAACATATCCAAGTTCGAGACAACATAACTACGACCATCCAGAACTTCTCCGACCAGTCTGCAGCTGATCTGGTAGAAAAATGGAGGAATACTGTGGCCGCACGGCGTGTTTGTAGTTTCTTGGCATAACACAGAAACACTGACAAGAGTGATGTCCGGACCCAATCCGAGTCGCACTAACTAAGCTCCATCCCTTTGCCCGTGCGAGACTGAGCGCTGCTTCGCATGCCTGGCAAACGTCATTCTTCATGACAGTCGCCTTCATCCTAACTAGTCTTGGCAACTGCACGCAAGCAGAGACTGGACGGTTATCGTTGAGCAGATGAATGGAAAACAGTAGCGACTGTCACTTTGCCCTCGGTCAACTGCACTTCGTTTGACGGTGATTTGACAGTGCTAGCCGAAGATTCGTTCTTCGAACGCTCCGGCAACTAGCCTTCGGCTGGGGACAAGTCCAGTGCGTCTCCTGAATAGATTCTACATGACTGTCTGTGCATCCACTTGCGATGCTAGCTGTCTACGCTCTGTTCTACACTACGTACAGCCCCGCCAACCACGGACACCGACTAGTCCGTGCAACAAGATCAGTCTACCTGGTCTGGTCTACTATCAGTCTATCAATGGTCTACGGCGCATGCGCAGGCCCATGCCAATGCCATGGCGTAGACTTACGGTAGAGACTAGTGGACACGTCGCAGGTCTACCATCCCCAGCCTAGCCCCGAGGGACCGTCATCCAGCTGAATAGGGAATTTTCAAGTTTCCAACTAAAACGCCAACGCATTTCATCATTTCCCCAAATGAATGACTGGAATGGGCACGAGCGCTATTCTCGCGGCGAGAAAGTGTTCATGATGGCTAAATGAAGTGGTGTTCCGACATTCACAAATCGACGGTTGGGGCTTCGGGAATAGGCATCAGGATGCAACGCCTGGCCGATTATGGCAGTGTGGTGAGAATGGCTGAATGGAGGAGCAGACAGTAAGAGACAGCTGAGTGAAAGGCACAATGGCGATGCGTCTCCACCATTGACCATGATCAGATGATTGACGAAGGAAGTACGCTCGATTTGCGGTACTGTATGATGACTTGTACAGTCATGTATCCACGCCTACAAATTACTTAGTACAAGGCTACATCACTGCAAACGATCGCTGCGGCGCGGGTGGCGTTCTCCTCCGTAGGTATGGGCGACTCGAAACGATTCGCTGCTACCGCACGTGTTGTGTTTGTTTGTATTTTTGAATCGGTGACAAGCTACACACGGGAACCACCCACTCTTGGAAGTTTAGTTTCTTCTATCACAACACAAGTACTAAGTTAGTAAGTAGCCTAAAACCGCTGAGGTTTCCATGAGTGTTCCTGAGAAGGAAGGACATCTAGATTCAAAAGAATCAGCGCCATTATGTTCTAGATGATGGCCACAGGCGCATCCCTGCATCTTGCCAGGCTGAGTATGACTACGGATTCTTATTCCATTGTGTCCGGAGGACCGTAGTCCTTTGCCATCGCACTGGGCAAAGTCTATCATCATGGTCTATGGCCTGCGGGAATTTGCGGAAAAAACTCTCGAAAACTTGCGCAAGAAATTGCGGCAGAAAGTAACAAAAAATGCGACGAAAAGTGCGGAATGATGCAGAACTTGCCAGGAATTCGCGGAATTATTTGCAGAAAATTGCGGATTTGGGCCAAATCACGAAATTTGTTGCATCGTATATCTACCCCGGAGTCGTACTGTGCAAATAACCTACAGGATCATGGAAAGCACTGCGTGAAAAGTGTATAGAACTGTGAGATATAGTGCAGAAAACAACAAAAAATGCGGGAAATAGCGGATTTTGCTGAAAATCGCGGGTTTGGGCCAAAATCGCGAAATTTGTTGCATCCGTGGAATCGCGATTTCCTGGAGGGTCAGTGCAACTTCTCAGGATCATCCGATGTACATGTACATGTATTTCCTTCAGCTAGAGATTGACGAGTCTTGATCAGAGGGTCAGGGGAAACCAGACAGCATAACTAGTATGTACATGTAGCTCTGCTGTTCCTCTAATTGGCCAACAGCTATGTAATAACCCCGGGCTAGACATAATTATTTGCCAAATTAGATCCGTCTATTCGACCTCACACGATATGCATAACGAACAGAAACTCATCCGATAGAGAAACATAGAAGAACAGAGTTTTTTAAAGTCTGATGACATAGTTCTGAAGATTAAAGTCTTCAGAACTATGTCATACCTGCCAAGTCTTCAGAACTATGCCATACCTGCCAAGTCTTGAGAACTATGCCATACCTGCCAAGTCTTGAGAACTATGCCATACCTGCCAAGTGGAAGGATACTTTATATTAGGGATTAACTCCCGAGATCGCAAAATTCTTGTCCATTATCCCGAAAATCATTGAACAGGACACAAGACTTAGTATTGTTCTTGGAGCACGTGTAAATTTTGTTTTTGTTGCCATAGCTGCAGTACAAGACAATTAGATCTATTTGTACTCCAACAATCCCAAAAAATAACGTTTGATTCTTTTGATGGTATACCATGCGTGAATTTTTTAATGTGATGTACACAAAGTGTCTGAGATCCTTGCCGCAAGGTCCGAGGCTGATGAGTGTTTTTGAACACGAAACTCGGAGTCGCAAGAAAGATATTGGGCTCTGTTGTTCTGCCCTGTGTAAGATGTGATGTGTGTATTCACAAGATGTGATGTGTGTATTCACAAGATGTGATGTGTGTATTCACAAGATGTGATGTGTGTATTCACCATAGCTAGATAGCAATACTGTAGTGGTTGTCAGTCGGCGGAAAGCACGAGCTCCGCGGTGTGGAAGCACTTTTCCAATGATGCAACTGTAGTAATGTATTACTATTCGATGTATAGATGCAGCACAAGCAAACCTATTCCTAATAACAGATCAAGTACACTGTACTTCGAAGTAATGCAAACATACCCGTCCTTTCGGCTTTAGCCACTGCCCATAACAAATACGCGAACGGTGGGCTTTCCCATCTCCAGTCCCACCTGTTGCCAGTATTCTTGGTAGAGAATGTCGATTCCATCTTGAAGCGAAAAGCAGCATCTGCCACCCTGGTAGGCAATGGTGGTGGCCTGGCACGAGAGAAACTTCTCTAAGCTGGTTGTGTTCCTCAACAGTTTCTGAACTGCAACATCTTGGCTTCACCTTGACCGACAACCTGGATTTCCGCAAACATGTCGCCTCAATAACTTCGAAGTTCAGATATCGAGTGCACCTACTGTCAATAATGTCCCAGCAACTTACGCCTCCGGCAATGATCATACTGTACAAAGGGTTCGTAAGACCTGTGATCGAATATAGCTGTACGGTGTGGTCGTTTGGATCTAATAAGAAACCCATGACCACTATTGATCAATTACAGGCAAGGTTTGCTAGAGCTCTACTGAAAAAGAAAAAAATTGCATTTGATTACACTTCTTCCAAGTCTGTCTTAAATTCTAAATGCTCCCTAGAGTCACTAGCCTATCGCCGTCAAATCATCAGTCTCACTACTTTTCACAGATATGTTTTCCATCATCGTGATTACCTTGCTGATTTCCATTTCAAGATTACGAATAGTGAGCGACGACCAAATAAAATCATTCTTCCCAAATTTAAATCATTGTCTAAGTCTCTCTTCATGTTCCGAACTGCTATTCTATGGAACTGTTTCCCCCCCCCCCCTCCCCCCCCCCCCCCCCCCCCCCAGTCTAACATCGATAGCCTCGCTCTATAAGTTCAAAGCTGCCCTCAGGAAATTTACAGCTGACTATGCTTATGCAATCAACGGAATTCCGCCACCTTGCAGTTGATTTTCCCCATTTCTCTCCTCATCAATCCCTACTTGTCTTTGTACATACATCTACATCTACTGTTCTTTCAATCAAATGAACCCCTCGATAGGCACATTGCCTTTGGGTCATTTCATAATAATAATAATAAACACAATTGTAAGCCGGTACCGTGGTAACGCGGATGTCCGAACTTTACTTTTTTCCGTTTTTATGCGGGAAATGAAGTGGGAGGCTCATGTTCTGGACTGGGTATGGCTCAGCTACAAAGGAACAAGCACATCTGGTCATGCGGTTAAATTGCGTTGAGGTGAACGTACACGGACCGCATTTTCCGTAGCAGAAACGCAATGCCTGTGCAGTATGCCGCTATGCTTAGAGCCTTCGGAATATGTTTTGCTATGCGGAGTCTGTGAGAGTTGAATGTCGGGCCTGGGTGAGTAGTACTAGCATTATAACTGTGCTACAGTATAAGTCCTTTTTTTGGAAAGTACTAGTAGCAGTGCTCTGGCATTAGAACTAGGTTGGGGCCCAGTTGAGCAATACACGGCTAATGCTATGAGCGTTGGTAGATGTATTCTTCTATTTTACTTCGTTATGGGCACAGGTAATGCTGGCTTCTCTTCGGAGGGTGAAACCTCCGATTCCTGCCCAAAACGAAGATGATTGATTGGGTAAGCCCCAGAAACGCACATCCGGCATAAAAAGGCCCTTGCATGTATCATTATCAAGGAGGCAACCTTTGATGACGTATAGACCGGAAATAGCGACTGCTTGTTCTAGCACTGCGAAATATACAATCTAGCGTTCCACTCAATAACGGCCGTTTGCCCACCATATACACCAACATTAGCCTAGCCAACATCTGAGTAATTAGTTGGCAAACCTAATGTGAATTGTGTAATATACCGTCGCAGGCCAATTGCCCTACAGCATAACTAGAGCACACATATTCAAAGAACTATGCATGTGCCAATGTGCCAACAGAGTGAACTACCCATGCAGAGTATACATGTAAATTGAGCAAGAGAATATCAAAGTCACTGCTGTTTCAGAAGAAGACTGTGACAAGGCAGAAATCCTCAAAAGGAAAGTAGGTTACTGCTCTACAATGAGACAATTCTGAATACGCTGAGTTTACATACAGTGCGTATCGATTAGTCAATGCTTGCATGCATTCTTGCACACCACATGCACCAGGGGGGGGGGGGGGGGGGAGAGGGGTGTTGAAGATTGGAAAATCAAGGTCACGGCAAATGCTATTCTATTACACATAATTGTACATGTACAAGACTAGTACAGATAATAAAGGAGTAGATCTACTAGTAC